GGTTTCGGCGTGGGCCCTGGGACCCCACAGGAACTCGTAGCGGGCAGGGTCGCTGCCGGGCACCTGCCGGTACTCCACGTACCCTTCCTGCACCCAGACATTGGTGAGGAGCTCCCTGGGCTCCCCATAGATGCCATGCTCCTGGCCGGCATACACCCCTATGATCCCCAGCGTTTCCCACACCTCCTCCTCGGGGGCACGGTCGCCATGCAGGAGGATCACCCCCAGGACCAAAACCAGGAGGCCGGTCTGGGGCACTCCCTGCTCACCGCTCAGCATCCCATCATAGGTGAGGCCCAGGACGGGGACCAGGATGTAGGAGTGGTCGTTGGGGTCCACTTCCTTCACATCCATGCCAAAGACCAGCTGCATGCACTCGGAGACTTGGCCCAAGATCACAGGGAAGGCATCCTGGTCATCCTTGCCGAGGATCTCCAGCATCTCTGCCTGGCTGGTCGGCTCCTTGGTGTGATACTTGAGGAGCAGGAACTCCACCAGGTCGGCCAGCTTCCCCTGGATTATGTTTTGGAGCCCCGGCTGGGGTTCTTGGGGCTCGTCGCAGGTGCTCGACCCCTCCTCATCGGAGCTGCTGGAGCCCTGCTCAGACTAGTTCCAGGCAGTGGCTGCCGGGGCAGTGGGGGAGGGGCAGGCACTCAGAAAGCTCTGGGGAGGACTCTGGAACCCAGCAGCAGACCCCTCCTCTGAGGGGACCTGAAACAGGGCAGAGCAGGAGACAGATGGGGCGGTGGACTGGGAGGAGGCCGAGGTGGAGAAGGAGGAGGGGGTGCGTGGGGCCTCCTCCTCCCCAGCCCCCAAAAGCTGTGCCTCCACCAGGCCCTGGACCGGGCCTGGGTCTTCCTCCAGCTTCCAGAGCTCACTCCTCTGACCCAGGGGCATGGCGTTTGTGTCGGGCTGAACCTGAAGAAAGAGGTGCAACGGCTCCTCAGGGTCCAGCCCAGGCAGCAGAGGCCTGAAGTCCCGGAGCTGACAGTGCACTGCGTCGGACTTGGGTGCTGAGGGGTCCCCCTGGGGTGGGATGGGCGAGCCCGTGGCTCCATGCTCAGAGCAAGCACCTCACCTTGACCCCTGGAACTCACCTGCACCTCCCCTGCTCTGGGACCTTAGAGGCTCCTGCCTCAGAGCTAGGTCTCAACTCTGAGTTCTTGAAGCTGCTAGAGGAGCAAAGGAGGAGTCACGTCGGGGTGCAGACACAGAGCACGGCCCCCGGCCCCCAGTGGGGAAGGAGGGCTGGGGCGGACTCTGGGAGGTCCCCATCAGTCCAGTTTGGGCGGTCCTATCCTTGGCCTCTCAGGGGACTGCTATTTCCCCTTGCAGGGCCTGGGCCCCACCCACGCAGCCTGAGGCCACAGGGTCACAGCAAGACCACGAAGCCTTGAGACCCCACAGAAGGTAAGCGAGGGGGCCCACATCTGCCCACGCCTGCCAAATGTCTAACGGCTCGTCACGGAATCCCAGGGATGGCCAAGCTCGGGTTCCGTCTGTGCTGGTATGGGCGCACCTCTCCGTCTATACCTTGACCCCACGGAAGGCCTGGGAAAACTCCCTGTGTTGACCTGAGGCCACCCTCCTGGTGCCGAGGTCTCATCTCTGGGAGACACCAGAAGGAAAAGTCAGGAGAAATAACTTGGCCCACCGATCGCCCGTCTCCCCGTGGCTGGCAGAAGCGGCAGGGTAGGCCTGGGCCCTAAGGATCCTGCTGTGGGAGGCATCGCCTCATTTCTCATCTCCCCCCCACCATCAGGGCCAGACCCAGGGCCAGGGCACCTGCGTCCTCTGCTACCTGAGTCCAGACCCTCAGGCCCAGGCCCTCCCCATCCTGAGAGGAAGGATCTGGAGAGGAGGGACTCAGCCTGACAGGCCGCACCCAGGGTTCCCAGGGCCGCCAGGTAAGGGCTGCCCAGATTTCTGGGCCATCCCTTTCTTGTCCCAAGGGGTGGGTGGGGAGTCACTCACTCCTCCCTCCGGTGTCCCCACATTGACTCTCGGCAGGAGCAGGGACTCCTGTGTGTCTCCCTGATGGGCTTCCCCAGTT